GCTCTTATACACATCTAGATGTGTATAAGAGACAGGAGAGAGAGAGAGAGAGAGAGAGAGAGAGAGAGAGAGAGAGAGAGAGAGAGCACGATGAGCACGCCGTATGCCGTCGTGTGCCATCACTTGCCGTAGCGTTCCGCTGTGTGTCGTTGCGGCCGAGACAATTGAGAGGGGCAGCCGAGGCCGAGACAAATAAGAAGCCCGCCCCTTTGAAGGGCGATTTCAGGGCTGGGCGCGGGCACGCATTCAGAAGGGGCGAACCGGTATCGCACGGCCCAGATTGCGGGCCGGTCACCACCCGCGGACGGCCCAGATCGCAGGCCGATGAGAAAAGTTTCTCATCGGCCCGCGATCTGGGCCGTCAGCGGGTGGTGACCGGCCCGCAATCTGGGCCGTGCGATATGACATTAGCGGTTTTTATATTATTGTAGACCCAAAGTTGTTATTCCAATTTTCAAAAGGGTTAAAAATAAAGGAGATTGATAAGTCCAATGTTGGAACAACTGGAAAAATACTTCTGTGAGTCTGTGGCTAATGGCAACAGTTTAATCCAAGAGCTACCTCTGGACCCCGATGAGTGGATATGGACCCAGAGATATGGGAGGGGAAGATCTGCGGTGCGGCGGCTGCAGTCTCTCGCGGTCAAGGCAACCAATAGAATGCTGCGACCGTGGTAGAGGCACGCTGGATGAAGAATCTAAATGTGGGGAGGGACATGCTACGGCTGGTTAAGTGGATTCCAGGGTAATCAATGCTGGCAGAAATCTCACACAATTGTTTTCTGAAATGTTTCAAATTCAGTCTGTATATGGGACGCTGGACCCGTTTTCCAGCAGGTGATGCTCCCCACCAATAGATGGAGCCTCTCCCCAGGTGCTAGTGGTGTCTGCTCTTATCAGCACCACTAACACTGGTGGGGGCGTTTTTATCAAAAAAGAAAAAGAAAAAAAAAAGGACTGGCTCTCCCTTCCCATCTTCCTCCACCACCTCCTTCGCCTCCGCTTCTTGTTCAAGTGTAGTGGGACTGACTCCCCCTTCCCATCTTCCTCCACCACTTCCTTCTCCTCGCACTGCTTCTCCGTCACCTCTTCCTGCACCTCCCCCTCATCCTCTGCCACCTCCTCTCCATCCTGCCCCCCGTCCCCCTCCTCTGCCGCCACCTCCTTTTCTGCTGCACTTTCCTTTGCCACAGACTTCCACGTCATCCCCCTCCTCTGCCATGTCATTCTACTCCTCCCACTCATGGTCTCCTCCTAACCCCCCCTCCTCCTCGGCCTCCTCCTCCTCCTCTGCTGTGTTTCCTGGGCCACCTCGACTTCCTCCTCCCCCTCTTCCTCTGCCACATCCTTCTCCTCCTCCCACTCATAGTCTCCTACTAGCCAAGGAAAAAACAAAGACAACAGGCCATACACCACCTCCTACTACTCCTACTCCCGATCCTCCTCTGCCATCTATGCAGCCAAGCGAAAAAAAAAAGAAAACAGGCCTTACACAAGGGAAAAGCAAAGCCTGCTTCATGATTTCAGACCATGGCCCTCTCTGTAGTCAACATTCCACACACATGCGGACTGATTCCTGGTAGGGCCACAGGAAAAAAAAAAAAAAAAAACATCGGCGAAGTTGGCAAGAACTCGGCCATTCGCACAGCCAGGAGGTACTGTGGGCTGGGTGGTATCAGGGGGTGTGGGTGATACTATGTGGGCAGGCCAGTAACATGTGCAGCGGGTCATACTATGCCGACTGGATGGTACTAACACACGCAGCCACACCCACCCACACACACACAGCCACAAAGTGAAATTGTGCGCACTTAGGCAAAACTTGGCGCTTGGCACGGCTGTCATACTATTGGGGCTGGGCGGTATTATATGGCCCACATAATGCTATGTGGGTTGGACAGTTCCAAGTGGATCGGGAGGCACCATGTGGGAAAGGTCATGCGCCATGGACTGGATTGTACTAACACACACAGCCATGAATACAGAAGTCACGGCCAGATATCAGGCACAATTTGGCCCCCACCACAGCCAGATGATACTGTGGGCCGAGGAATAACATGCCGAGCAATAACATGTGGCCTGGGTGGTACAACGAATTCCAACCACTTGCGAAATTGGGATCCATAGGTGTCCCTACATATTTCTGGCTTTCATCCTGGTGGCTGTGTTATACACCATTTTCCTAAAAGAACTCTTATTCAAATGTTTTTTTCTCAGTAGAACTTTACAAAATCCCAAAACCAACCCAAAAAACAGAAGTTTTGATAAATTGATCAAGTTAATAAAGCAAGCAATATATTATTTTGTTATGCCGCGTTGGGCGGCCCATACTATGTGGACTGGGCGGTATGAAGCAGGATGTGGGTTGGGCGGCAGGGTCATACTTTGTGGCCTGCTCGTACTATGTGGGCTGGCCAATAACAAGCGGGTTGGGTGGCACTATATGCAGGTTGGGTCATGCCACATGGGGTGGGCCATAGTATGCAGACTGGTTGGTATGAAGGGTGGGCCATACTCTGCGACAGGCCATACTACCTGGACCGCTGTGTGGGCTGGGTGATAATAAGTGGTTTCGGTGGCACTATGTGGGGTGGGTCATACTATGTGGAGTGGGTGGCACTGCATTATGCGGGCTGCATTATATTATGTGGTACAGGGGATACTATTAGGGTTGGGCGGGTCAAAGCATGTCGACTGAATGGTACTACGTGGGCTGGCCGGTACACTGTGCGGTAGTTGGGCGCTGCTACACTGCCGATGCTACAGGTAGTGGGCCGTGCAAAAGACCAATGACACTACTTTCACAGGAGTAGGGTATGCCATAGATCAAGTCAGGGCATGCAGAAGCAGTTTTTTTACCTGATTGGCCAAGAGAAACAATGGCCACTGAGTCAACTTTTCTGGGGCATCCATGAACGGAACCTGAAGAAGACCACTGCGGCTAGGAAACTTGAAGATCAGATGTTCCCTGCACATATCAGAACCAGACGACAACCACACATGCACAGGTCGTCCATTTAAAAAGAATGATCCGCCTTCCAGCGGATCAAGATCCTTTTCACAACAGCAAGATCCACAAGGTGCGAGCACACAAAGAACTTGAAATGATATAGACAGGTTTCTCAACATTGCGGCTATGGCAGCCGGCCACCATGACAAGCCGGTCTCTCTCTCTCTCTCTCTCTCTCTCTCTCTCTCTCTCTCTCTCTCTCTCTCTCTCTCTACTACTACTAAAGACTGCACCCAGGTCCCGCAATCACTCTCTGAATGTCCTCGGTGCTCTCTCTCTCTCTCTCTCTCTCTCTCTCTCTCTCTCTCTCTCTCTCTGGTCTATGCAAGCTCACAGCTATTGCGCCCAGTGCCCTCGACTACTTATCTCCACCAGCACTGCTCACATTCCAAGATCTTGGCACCCAGCAACACAGGAGCACTTCCGCATCTGCCAGAACAGAACAAGACGAGGTTCCAGATGTTGGCCTCCCTCTGGTGCCTGTGCCTTTGCCCCCCACCTCATTCCGGAAGAGCCCGCCAGGGCCTGCAGCAGCGGCAGACAAAGATACGGTGTCTTTCCATGGGACTGAGCTGCAATGGGACCAGGACTGGACACGTGGCAACTCCCTACCTACCAGCTTCTAGGACCCCCTACTGTTCCGACCGGTATTATCATTTCAGATGTCTTTTGTCCTGTTCAGAGTCTGTTTTGCAGTATTGCCTGTGCGTCAGAGAGTCCATCGAATGCATTCCGAGTCCGTGCCTGTGTGCTAACTCTGTTCCCGAGCTGTGTTAGTGTTCAAGGAGACGTAGACCGGAAAATAGGCGAGTTTACAGGGGTGGGACACGAATTTGAATGAAGGTAGAATGATAGGAACCCAGAGGTGAATTTTACTCCCCAGGGTTCTTTTCACCAGCACTCTATGCATCTCTACATCGCACAGACTCTACCTTCAACTTGTTCCAAGGCGACTATACAAACCCCCTGACCGAGGTTTCACATATGGTCTCTGAGGATCCCACACAGACATATGTTGGTTTCCTGCGGATTATGCCCATTATATTTCAGAAAGGTGACCTGCAATGTAAACATTTTCCAAATAACTTGAAGAGACCCTAGAGTCCAGTAGCATTCAGACACGTCATGATGATACCAGCCGTGAATGTAACCAGTGGTACGTCTTAGTTCAGCCACTGCAGTTGACTTACAGCCTGCTCCAAGGAAGATGAGCAATAGCGAACTTCAGAAATCAAACAGCATCATACACATGAGACAGCAGAACTGCATCGCGGGTTTCACCAAATAAGAGCACACCAAAAGCTCATAATTGACAATGCTGGAATAGGCTCATCATCATCAACGAAGAACCAATGTTGATATCCTATCTGGCGCTCGGCGCCCAGACTACAGATGGCAGATCCTATCTAGCCTACTATCTACAATGCTGCTGATGACGTCAACAGCTCCCCGAAGTACGAGCAGATCTCGGACAATGCCGTACGCTTCTAGCACCAGGTATGTCTCTCGTATCACTCACAACCTCGTTCCCCAACTCACAGATGCCCCAAGCACCCAAGGACCACCATGCGCCCCATCCAGCATACAGCAGCGCAGCTCAGCTATGGCTGCCTGCTCCTTCCTGCTCGCCCGTGAGCCTGGCCAGCGTTAGCGCAGCAGCGCTTGCGCAGCATGCAGCCAGTGCCCGAATGCCGAATGCGTGGGCTGGCCCTTTCCTAAATGGAAGTGGCCAGCCTGCTTGTATGCAGCCTGGCTGCGCTGGGCCCCTGCCCAGAAGCTTCTGGTAGGCCCAGGGAGGCTGAGCCTCAGACCAAATGAATCAGGCCCGGGGCCACCGACCATTACCCGTGCCCAACTGCCCGCTGTCTGAGATAGGTCTCTGCTGCGTATCTCGCCCAGGGCCTGAATTAGATACATTCGGAAAAAGGAGGTCAGGGCCTGGGCGCCTTCAACCAACTGGCGCTGCGCAACTGCCTGGATTTTCCCCAGTTGCGAAGTAGTCCAAAATAGGCCTCCTGTCGTCTGTCGAGCCTGCCTTCACTTAGGGCGGCCGACCTGTTGCAAATAGGGGCCCAGTAGGGCTTATCGAGGCCTTATGCCTGGCACTGCGATGACATTCCTGCCGAAATAGGACACATCCCGGAGAACCTACTGCACCAGTAGAGGGTGAGAGCACCCAGGTAGAGGTCCTTGAGGCCAAGAGCCAAGAGTATATATTGTCAGATAACTATGAACTAAAGAAGCGCACTTTGTGAAACAAACGGTAAAGATAAGAAAACAAGACAAACATGAGGGGCACACTGAAACCATTCAGTTTTGGCATTCCTCTTTTACGTCCCAAGCGCAGGTTTGCATCCCTGCCGACCGCCGACCCCGACGGCTGACCGTATTGCAGCCGACCAGTAGGGCCGACCGGTCGGCGGTCTGCCGACCAGTCAGAAAACAACCATCCACTGATTTTTTTTCAAATCTGAGTTGGGGCTGTACTGCACTTGCTGAGTACAGCCCAAATCCACTGAGAAACTTTTGGGGTTGGGGGGGGTTGGGGGGGTCTGGGTTGGAGTATAGGGGGGGTATAGGGGGKATTAGGGGGTATTAGGGGGTATTGGGGGGTATTAGGGGTTATTAGGGGGKAATGAGGGTGCTGGGGGCGGTTTGAGGGTGTTGGAGGAGTGTATGGGGGTATTGGGGGCCGCTATGGAGCTGTTCGTGGTGTTATTAGGGGTTCTGACCCCCAACAATTTTTCTATTATTATTACTTTTTTGCGGGGTGCCAACGACCCCCGACCGATAGGTGCCGAACAGTCAAGGGCCGCCGACCGTCAGGGGGTGCAACCCTGCCCAAGAGTATATATTGTCACATAACTATGAACTAAAAGACCGCACTTCGCGAAACAAACAGTAAAGATAAGAAAACAAGACAAACATGAGGGACACACTGAAACTGCAGTAACCCTGTTCAGCAGCAGACCGGGGCTCAGAACGTTGCCCCCGGTAAAGCACAGACTCAGTTGTCTGTGCTGGGCTATGTGACCGAGACATGCCCAGCCTGAGTCTGGCGAGGAGGCTGTGTGACTGAACACAGCACAAAGGAAATTCAACAGTCAAAGTCAACTGTAGAGTCAAAGGTACCGCGCCCAGGCCTATGGTCGGATACATTCACTTGTTGTGTGCAGGTACCCAGACAGCATTCAKGGCGGRAGGAATACAGTTTCTGGCCAATCTGGGCCCTCCTTCACATCGAGATCTGGACGGTGTAGTACTTCAGCACCCGGGGTCCAGACCCCGCATCCACGCTATTTAAGAGTTGACTTCCTGGCTGGAGAACATTCAGTCTTGCGTGAATGCTGACTTCACGCGTGGACTTGACGCTGTTGCTATGCTGCAACATTGCGACATTGGCTTGACGCCGGCTATATGCTGGCAGAGGAGGACGGCAAGGCGCTGCTGGCTGGCGTTGGTCTTCTGGGCATGCCGACGTGGCAGCTGCCACGCGCCGTTGCTGACGTGGCCGCTGCCACCTGTATATGATTGATGACGTGGCTGGCTGCGAGATTGATGAGGCTGTTCTGATTCTTCGTCACTTCGGAAGGGGATCAAGACTGTGGTTATCGAGGATACGTACCTGGTTGATGACGATTTCTCCATTTGCTGATGTAGACAGATTGACGTGCCACGTGGCACCTTGAGGAAGAACTTCAGACATTGTATTCAGTCTATTGATTGATGAGGTGGCGAGGAGGAGGAGGAACCCGAAGTAGAAGTGGGCTGTTGTCTTCTTCTCTCTCCTTTGTCTATTCTCCCTCTCTCCTCCTTCGTCTCACACATTTGCGATTGTTTGTCATTCATCAGCAGATCGATAATCATATGGACTGGTAATGTTGACGAGTATCATCATGTCTGGGCTCATTGCAGAAACCATTCATTTTTTGCATTTTTCCTTTAAAAAAAAAAGCACTAGTACCTTTCCCGCGTGGGAAAATAGGGGAAACTGGCAGTTTTCCCAAGCTCCTGAATCTTCGGAGGTCGGGTCCGACGACGACTGCCTTTGATAAATCCGAGGCGGCCGTCATGTCGTTTCGGCCTCTGGAAAGGTCGGACGCCTACCCGAGGCCCGCTATTTTCCCAGGCGGGAAAGGTACTGGCGGTTTAACTCCCCGTTCACCGTGCCCCTCACGTACAAGGCTCGCCAAGTTGATGAAGTTGAGCACGGGCTGCCCACATCCYCATGTGCCATAACGGCCCACTTGTACGCTGTGAGAAAGAGGCAGAGTAAAAGGGGAGGTGATAAACACAGGGAAGAGAGATCTGCAAATTTAAACGAATACGACCAATTGTGTACATTTGATTCGTTTCAGATGGATGTGTTGAATTGTTTTCACTTGACATTGGGCGGGTGAAACTTCCTGCAACTGGGAGCAGACACTACAAGGCTCGCCAAGTTGTTTTCAGATGGATGTGTTGAATTGTTTTCACTTAACACTGGGCGCGTGAATTGTCCTCACGTACAAGGCTCGCCAAGTTGATGAAGTTGAGCACGGGCTGCCCACATCCCCATGTGCCATAACGGCCCACTTGTACGCTGTGAGAAAGAGGCAGAGTAAAAGGGGAGGTGATAAACACAGGGAAGAGAGATCTGCAAATTTAAACGAATACGACCAATTGTGTACATTTGATTCGTTTCAGATGGATGTGTTGAATTGTTTTCACTTAACATTGGGCGGGTGAAACTTCCTGCAACTGGGAGCAGACACTACATGGGGTAGGATCAATTCTAGAGGGGGTATGCTCAAGCCCACCCTGTTGAGATGAGTGTGAGAGGAAAAAAAGCAGTATAAAAATTCTGAAGAACCCGCATTGTGGCTGCTGAGCGAGCCAGCGAAAGGGGTGCCCCTCATATGAAAGACACATGCATTGTGGCAATTTGAAGACGTTGCACAGGCTTTTCAAATTTCCCATTTTTGGGAAACCTCAAACACAATACATATCCATTAGGTCTGGGGAAGACTTGCAGTTGGCGATAACACATGTTCTAGAAGAAGTGCCCTCCTATTTAAAAACTATAAACTGACTTTCCAAGAACCCATTTTTTGGGGGGGAACTCTACTGCAATTCGTATTCATTGTGTTCGGGCTAAGACGCAAGTTGGCAGTAATACGGCTGGGTAACCTGTCGAAACTTACTGGTTGCTGATAATGTCCTCCTCCCGAAAGCTATCAATCACCTCATTCCACACTTGAGCAAACTGAATTTCTTCCATGTATTTGTCCACATCCTGCACAAGCAAGTGAGCACCAACAAGTAAAAACGGTGCACCTGTGAGCACTGAGGTGTGAGTAAGAATCTCACACTTTGCGAAAGCAATCCATTGAATACAGAACATTTCATTGTGCATGAAACATCAGACAAGTGACTGTTCACACATACCATCACTGCAGCACACAGAGATCCAAGAATTTCACCTTCTCATGAACATACAGAGCATTATTTGCACCTTCCATCAGGATTAATAAGGAAAAGTACTGGACATGATAAGGCCAACATTTTTCAACAGTCTATGTTGCGCCGGTTCATCGCAACTCGTCTTCCCTCAGGAACCTATATAAATAACCAGCAAGTATCTCCTGACTCACAGCGTGGTCAAGCTTCGACAAAAGAGCAAAGTTCAGCCACCCTCAACCTTCGACTTTCCAAGTAAACACAGCACGAACACCGCTGTCTGCAGTGCCACTTCTCACCTCTAATATCGCCATTACACAAGCCTTGCAATTCTGATTCCTTTCTTCTCGTGTGCTCGTTCTGTCCTCTATCCCAGTCTTGCCTGCCCTTTGAAACTCCGTTCCCCATCCAGAAGGTCCTAATGTCCAATATAATGGTACCTCTAGCGCCTCGGCCAAATATCATGCTGGGAACATAGTCAAAACAGGACTTTTTTTCATGCATCCGACCAGAATATCTAGATTCACTCAAAAGAGTCCTGTGAGTATTGCCTAAATGCACACATATGCCACAAAATCATGTGCATCTGCACAAGAGGAAATTTATGTTGAACATGTCAGACAAAAGCGTGTGCTGAGTGAAGAGCATTTGTGCAAAAGCCTGAACTTACAACAATGCAGGTGTTTATGATACATCATCTTGACATCTGCTTAACGTTTAAAGATACGGCAGTTCCAAAGAGTCCTGTGAGCATTTGACTAAATGCACACATATGCCACAAAATCACGTGCATCTGCACGAGAGGAAATTGATGTTAAACGTGTCAGACAAAAGTGTGTGGTGAATGAAGAGCATTTGTACAAAAGCCTGCACTTGCAACAATGCAGGTGTTTATGATACATCATCTTGACATCTGTTTAACGTTTAAAGATACGGCAGTTCCAAAGAGTTCTGTGAGCATTTGACTAAATGATCGCGTACGACACAAAATCATCTGGATGTGCACAAGACGAAATTGATGTTGAACGTGTCAGACAAAAACTTGTGCGAATGAAGAGCATTCGGACAAAAGCCTTCACTTACGACAATGCAGGTGTTCACGATACATCATCTCTATACATATAAAGGAAAACGCGGGTCTCGCATGACGGTCCCGTGCGAGACCCGGTTCCCTGGTGTGGGACTCGTAGCAGGCCCAAGGGTGGACTGCGTGCCAGTTCGGTGAGGCCGGGGGGTCGAGTCGGGTTGCCTGCGGGCGGCCAATGTTCGAATACAAGTTTACGGCCGTTTTTTTGTTTGGGTTGGTGTTGGCGCGGCGCGGTTTGTTTTTGTGTTTGGTGTTGGCGGGCTTTATGAACGGGGTCTTTATTCGCTGCAGGTTTGTTTTGCGCCGCGCCGTGATTGCAGGTGTCGGCCATATTCAACCAGGTGATTGCAGGTGTTGGCCATTTTCTAGCGCAAGATTCATCGATTTGAAGATTCATTCCATTTGCCTCATCCTATCGGTGGACGTGGCATGACGCCAGCCTCGAGGTTGGAGACTTATCTGCTCTCTCTCTCTCTCTCTCTCTCTCTCTCTCTCTCTCTCTCTCTCTCTCTCTCTCTCTCACACACACACACACACACACACACACACACGATTCATCCCCTGGAAGTGAAACATGGCAGATCAAGGTATGACGTCGACATACGTTTTCCTCTTTTTGTTTCTTCTTTTCGTTTTCTCTTTTTGTTTCTTTTTCTTTCGTTTCGTTTTTGGTTCGTTGATGCTGAGATGATGGATTCGACAGACTTCCTGGAGAGAGAGAGAGAGAGAGAGAGAGAGAGAGAGAGACAGAGACAGAGAGAGAGAGAGAGTGAGAGAGAGAGGGAGAGCGAGAGGATGACCAAGATCGAACCAATCTACCACTACAACATGTGGAGGGAGAGAGAGAGAGAGGGAAGGGGGGTACCTCCATCGATAGGATGACCAAAATTGAACCAATCTACCACTACAACATGTGTACCTCCATCAACAGCATGACCAATATCGAACCGATCTACCACCCAAAGAAAAAAAAGACAAAAAACGATGACAAAACTGAAAAGTTGATTAACCATTCTCTAAGAGCACAAGCATCAATACGGAAAAAAAAAAAAAAAAAAAAAACGAAAATACAAAACAAATCCAATCGTGGTACATTTGCCAATCAGTACAAAAAAAAAGAAATACAAAAAAAGGAAAGAGAAAATCACAGTATATATCGCAAAAAATAGGAAAAAATGCCAAAAAAACGACGGGCCATCGGATACAATCACCATTGCAATGTTAGACAACAATCCTTCTCCCCCTCATCAATCAATCAATCAATCAATCAATCAATCAATCAATCAATCCCGCAAAAAAAAAAAAAGACAAAAAACAATGACAAAACTGGCAAGTTGATTAACAATTCTCTCTTTTTTAAAAGGCTACTTTTTTAAGCCCAACCAATTCAATTACCTGTCAAATCTGGACAGGACAGCCTTTCAGGCCTTTTTTTATTGTCATTATAGTATTACAGGGAACCCCGTAGCAGCCACATCCGTGCTCAAGCCTCCAACGAGGGAACATGCCGGAGCTGCACCCACCAGCAGGTGCGATACCTGCTACAGCAGGTGGGCAATACCGGCCAGGGGTCAGCCGGTAGCATCAGGACCGAGCTTCTTCGATGGGCCAGTCACTGTGCCTCCCCTCCGGTCCCCTCCCCCTATGAACATCAGCACTCTCTGCTTAATGCCACTCGGGGGGACAAACGGCATATCTCTACGTGGCGGGCGCCAAGCTTGCCCAGGAAGGTCTCTGACAACACAAGCATCTATACCGGAAAAAAAAAAAAAAAAACGAAAATACAAAAGAAATCCAATCGTAGTCTAGGCTACCAGAGTAGCCCGGAATCACTAGCTCGGCCGGGCCAACATATATATCTGTTTGTGACGATATATATATATCATCAAAAACAGAACTGCCCGGTAAACCGTAGGCAGAGAGAGAGAAGAGGACAACAAACGAGGGGCTGTGACAAACTGTTTCGTCAGAGTTTCACCGACTCATCAGGAGGCTGAACCCTATTTGTTTTTTTTTTTGATGACGAATTTCCATGTGACCCTCAGGCAAAAGTTGTTCGGTTTATTTTTCTGCATAACATAGTTTTTTTGGGGATTTTTCGGTTTTTTTTTTTTTCTTTTTTTTGGCTGCGACCTTCCCTGGTCCTCGCACGCGTTGCCCACGCAGGACCCGTAGCCTACATCGTAGTAAATTCCTGCATGGCAATAGACATGTGTGCATGCTCAGGCGCAGGAGACCTGTTTCACGGTGATTATGCAGTTTAATGTGTGTGTGTGTG